GAAGCGTCATTACTGGCCATCTATAGCCGTGCTAAAAGGCCACCTGCCATCACTGTTGGACGGTGCATTGCATCCATAGAAAAAAATGAGTTTTAATTCCTTCAGTTCCAGGAACTGCTCATTGGAGATCATTTTTGCTCAACCAGAAACAAAGCCCAGAATATAGCCGGTCTCCCAAATATCAAAGCTTGAGCGGCAAGCTGGAATTTCCTTCTTCTCTTTCCTATCATCTGCCATTGAGTCTCATCTCACACTCTGTTCTCTCTCTCTCTCCTGTCAAGTATCAGCAGGCATCTGCTCTTTTCATTTTCACTGAAAATAAATTCCCAGAAAATTTGAAGGGTCACTTCAGTAAAATAATCAGCTTTTTATTAAAAGAGCTGAGTCCATCCTGCAGAGGACCTTATCCAGCTGAACCCAGAGAGGGCTGTGAGCTCAGTGTACAACCAGGCAGAAAGTTGTCCCAAATGGCAGATCGCATTTCAAATGCTTCCTGATTCTGGTGGTAATAGGCAGGGGATGTACGTAAATCATGATGAGTAAGAATGGCATTTCTTTTCGATGCTTTTTCTTGTGGACTTTACAATATTCTGCACTTGGTTGCCGCGTTTCGCCCACAAATATACAGTCAATTCACTTTACAGTATATTCTGTGAAGCAGTTTGAGACGTCTCGAAGACATATATCAAATGCAAGGATTATTATTATTATTTATTAAAAAAAAGATTCTGGCTGAAGAACTAAAGATTCATTACAGACTCATTGACAACAAAAATAAGCATTACACGAATTGTGACCGTGCTCCAAAGTGGCATGGTTCCAGCTCAGCACACTGTTGCTCAGTGGTGGCAGAATAATGAAAACTCACTGCAGAAGTCGAGAGGACTGGGGTCATGTCTTGTTTATGCATGCTGGATGGGGGTACTCGTGTGCCAAAACTAAAGTTACAGAGAATCACAGCATCCGAGCTCATAGCAAACCGCAGCTTCCTTTAGTGTGCACACCAGTACCACAAACGTAACCTGTAGGTGTTCTCCTGAAAACACACAGTGACCTAACTTTGCAGTCGTTTCCATAAAATGCTTTGTTGTTCTCCCATAGTGAAAGACTCTGTATCAAATGCAATATTATTATTATTATTGTTTTATTATTTTGACAGCTTCCAAAATATGAACTCTCTTACATACAACATCACTGAGATTGACTGTGATTATCGTACTATTAAGAATTGTTGGTTATGTGTTTAACTATTTTTCATTTTTTTTGAGCTAAAACAATAACAATTAACTTGGCAGGATAGCAGAAGAACTGACCCATTAACAATGATGTATGTTTTGCTCAAACATTACATGTTTGTTAACGAGTACACACGTGTGTTTTGAAGACAATATCTTTTATTAATTGAGGGAACAAAACACAAGCTATTTTATAGCACTTTATATTTTAAAAGTCTCAAAGATTGTGTTGTTTCTGCTGGGTGTCTCACACATGTGGAAAGCAATCCATGACAAAAAATATCCAAACCAGAATGTGAGCTCCACATATGTATAGTACTTACACATGGCATCTTCCCTGTGAATGGAATGCACGCTCTCTATCTCAAGGAATTTTACAGTGACTATTATCAAGTTCAATGACTGTGTTTTGTAGGCATACTTGGCAGCCATTTTTTCCCACAGCAATGTCCTATAAATAGCTATCAGGTTATTAAGGCATTCAGTGGATTGTAGCCTAGGTTGATGAAAGAAACTCCCTTCTCTTTTGAAATAGTGCCATGGGATTTTAATGTCAACCTGAGGGCAGGCAGATGGATCTTGGTTTAATTTCTCATCCAAAGAACTGCATCTCCAAAAATGCATTGCTCCCCAAGAACCAGACTGGAGTGTCAGGCCTAGACTATGAGCTCTAGTCTCAACACGGTGCTTGAACCTACAACATTCTGAGAGTGCCACCAACTGACCCAAGTTGGCATCAACCACCACCGCAGGGGTCTTATTGAATCTCTGAAGCATATTTTTGGCTATTATCATAATTCACAGTGGACATTCACATCAACATGTGCATATAGTGGGGTGTGATGATGTCCGCTCTAAATGGTGAATGGTTGAGTAATAATCTCTAAGACCCTGTTAATCAATTCTCAGGCACAGCACATATATTAAGTAGATTAACTAGGAGGCTGCTCCTAGGGTCAAAACATTTTATTTCCTCATTAACAACAGGGTGTAAAATATGATTTTCATAACTTGTCTCCTGCCCCGGGAGCTGGATGTGAGTCGTGCCAACCCTCAGGAACTCTACTGTGACACAATCTATTTTGAGTTGCCGGATGACATGGCGGAGTTTGGGTTACCAGCAGGAGCTGCTATTAATGGCAGGCAGCATGGAGCAGTAAGAAAAAGCTTCATGTCTAGCAGCTATTAATAACTCCTGTTACGAGTTTAGTGTTTTAAGTTCCACTATGCACCCAACAATGCCATTCATGGCAATCTTTTTGCAAATGTTATTGAAGCCTTGAAAGAGTTAATATTGAAATAAGGTTTCAGGTATTGGCAAGGATTCTAGGCTGTGAATACAAAATCCTTGTTCGCTGAGCTACAAATAGAAAATAATGTTTTAAAGACAACTACAGAGTGACAGAACCATACTCTCACATATGCTATAATGTATTTCTATATGCTGTGTATCTGTCTTACTTTAGTTAACACTCTTCCATTTATTAGGTGATTTCTCTTTCCTGCACAACCTACTTATACACCAAACACACAAACCAGTGCCCACTTGACTCTGCTCAGACATTACCCAGTGCCACCCAGCAACCACTCACTGAAAATGGCCTTGGAGAGAATGCCTAAGGCCTTTGTACCCAGCCAGGACAATAATACTGTATTATAAATAATAATCCTTGCATTTGATGATCTTCAAGATGACATCTCAAAAAGCATCACACAATTTACTGTAAAGTAATGACTGTATTTTGTAAATGAACACAGCAGCTAATTTGTGCACAGCAAAGTCCCACAAACAGCCATGAAGTAAATGACCAATTTTATTTTGAGGATTGTTGGCCAGGACACCGAGAGGAATAGTAAATTCCTATTTTGAATAGTATCATGAAATCTTTAATGTTCATCTGAACAGGACAATGGCACCTTGGTTTAACGTCTCATCCAAAGGACAGCATCTCTGACGATGGAGTACACCCCCAGCACTGCATTGCAGGGTGAGCCTAAACTATGAGTTGCAAGTTCCGACGTGAGGTTTGAACCCACAACCTTCCTAATCAGAGGTGAGAGCGCTAACAACTGAGCCAGGCTAACATGTACATAATGATGAGCATTAAGGATCGTAGAGATGAAGCTCTCGCTTACCTCTCCAGGGTGCCGGTTGTTGACACAAAAATCCAGTGAACCATTGAGCCACATAGTCCTTCACTACCTCTTTCATCATCCTTGTTTCAATCAATGTTTATATCATGTTGCTGCATTCTTGTTCAGTGACACAAAATCTACCTTTGACATTTTCCTTTTGCTTGAGAAGCAAAGTGATGGGATTGACAGCACTAACATTTACCGCACTCCCTGATGCTGTTAACAAGGGCGGGAAGAACAATGGTCACCACTGTCTGCTGAAAATATTGTTGTTTGCCTATTCAGGGGAACAAGTGCCCCTCAAGCTTGACAGGCAGTGCTTGAAATACTGTGCAAACCATTCTACAGGCACAGCCACAGAAACTACACTATTTAGCTGTTGAAGTTAAAACTTCAGTTAAGGGAGAGGAAGGCTAGTGTTCGCATATCAGCAAAAGCATTTTGCTGTTTCAAAATATTCTCCTTGTGTAATGCATTTTGTTAACCATTTATGGGAACACAGAACTCCATTACTCCATTACCGCACATCATACTTTGAAAGCCGCCTGATTTAATAACTCACCTTGTCTTTTACACACTGCCTTAAGCACTTTTAATGTAACTAATACTGTACCCACAGCTGTATGTAATGTACAACTCAACAAGCTTGACTGCAGGATCAGAGGAAAATGTATTGTAACATTAAACCTTTTACAGCCACAAATATACCTCTAAGATATTATTGCACTTTCCCACTTAACTAAGAATTACTTTCCCAAAACTGTACACAAAATGCAATTGAATTTCATCTATGACTGTGTGCTCCGTAGTTAAGATATGTTAAATCGAGTAATCTTTCACATTCTGCACAACAAATGGCACAATTTTAACTCCAAGAAAATATTTTGCTTGATCTTCTATAAGGCTCCCAGTCAAAGCTCCCCCGACATCTCAGCTGGTAAAGCCACTGCCAAGGGTATGCTGAAAGAATCAACTATCAGGTTCAATCTGCTCTGGGTGGGATGCTCTGAGCTGGGAGAGGAGCTTTTGAGGTACTGGAATTTGTTTCAGCACCTCTGGGCTAGGGAAGGAAAAAATCAGCTTGGTTTCCCTGATCACTAACCAGTCAGTTCCTTAAAAATATTTGTGTGTAAACATTTAGAAAGGACAGTGCTGAGTTCAGCTGTGATGCCCCACCCTTCGTTCCCTTCATCTCTCCCTTTCTCTCTCTCTCTCTCTTGTGTACCTTCTCCCTCTATCTACCTGTCCCCCTCCCCTCTTCCCCCTCAAGTGCAATGGCCTGCTGACGTTCACTGCCTAGATTCGTGTGTAAGAGTTGCCACTTGGCCAGACAAAAAGGAACAGACAGTTGGACAGGATTAGAAGAAACAAATTTTGTTTTTGAAAAGAAATATAAGCTGAAGATTTGTGACAGTGGATGACATAAACTGCATTATTATTCCCATGAGGTAAGAACAATGATATTCCCGAGCCACGTCCTGTTCTTTAATTAAGGCATTCTGAACACATTCCATTCCGTAATTGAAGAACGGAATGTCTTTAGGGGATAAAAACCTACAATTTTGGCCCTTTCGTTTCTAATAGTTAAGAAGCTCAAAACAATTCCCACGATTTGTACAGGGTTATTACCTCGGTGGGCAAGGCTCCAGGTTGCAGGCTTTCAGGAGTTGTGGTGGACGGCGGTGGATCATACAAAGACTTTCGATGACAGTCTCTCGGGTTTGCTTGTTCAGGCAAACCACAACTGCCTCTTGAACGCCTGAAGGAGGGAAAGAAAAGCATATGCATCAAAACATTGTCAGGAAAGGAATTTGGGGCACTGCATGACTGGGTAGTCAATAATAATCCGTACATTTGATAATAGCGCCTTATCACGTCGTTGAGATGTCTCAAAGCATTCACAGAATATATTGTAAAGCGGATTGACTGTGTATTTTGTGGGAGCAACGTGGCAGCCAATTGTGCATAGCAATGTCCCAGAAACAGTCGTAGACTGAGTGACCACTTTTTTTTGAGGGATTATTAACCCCAGAAAGCGATCTGCCAATTGACTGACAACTGGGCTCTTACTTACTGTTAGGTAAACAGAGGTGGTGCTCAAGGTTTTGCCTCGCCTGGGAATCGAACCCAGGAACTCTCACTTGTGAGGTGAACTCGCTAACCACTATTGCTACAGGACTTTAATAAAAGATGTTATGAGTGGTGATTATATACCAGGAAAACTTTCAGAGTGCATTTCACTGCATCATCCATTCCCCTCTTTTCACAGAAAAGGCATAGAATTTAAGAACAGCAAAACACCGTTGAGGGTGAAGAGGACACTGAAATGCTTCCACAATGTTAAATGATCGTTAGCCACAAAGAAAATGAGTACTTCTTTATTTTCAAATTAAAAAGCATCGTTAACTTGAACGGTTAAAACTTTTGTCATCAGTCTTACTTTCACTTATAGAATTAGCAAGAACAAGTTAACAATATATAACATCAATATGTGTCAATAACCAAGGCTTGTGACTTGGAGGTAAATATTATAAGACTGTATTTTTGAATAATATTGAAGTCATTACTTTTTTAGGATGTATTATCTAGAACTACACAATGCACATAAATTGGAACTTGGGGGACAAGGGTGTTAGAGGGTTTGGTGAAAATGCTGGGAATTGGGATTAGAACAGATGGCTTCAATGAAGGAGCAAACTATGATACTAATAATAAAATCAAACGGCCTCCTAGTCAAGGTCTTCTATGGTTCTGTGGGTAAAGCATGCCTACATTACAATCGGTTATTGAGAACGATTGAAGTCTTCTTTCAGAAATGGATTATGTCAAAGGAACTAAGTGTGAAGAGGAATGAACTAATCATCGACATGTCATCCCATCTGCATGGAATGAGGGACTGCCAGTATTTGGATACTTGCGAAAAACGGAATTGTTTCATGACATGCAATGACAATTGCAGCCGCTCTAATGAATGAGTGGAGGCCAAGTCACTAACCAGATCCTTCTGAGTTGTACTTCTGCGAGGTCAGAGGTTGCTTCAGCAATATCAAATTCCACATCTGGAGACGGTAAAGCATGTACTTACATTGACCTGTGTGTGTGTGCGCACCATTGTCTATGTTCAACCAATATACCAATCATTTTTTTAAACTCTCCATGAGGTAGTCAGGAAAACAAAAGGTCACACCCAACAGAATTCCAATACTCCTATAATTACTTTGAGAGGAGCTCATACACCAGCACTCAGTCTCTCACAAAATCTGGAGAAAATCAATATTTTCAGATTTAAGTTTAAATTGATATTAGATTGTGAATTAGTTTACTTTTCAATGATAATGACAAACTGGCATCTATCTGATCACATAAAAGTTACAGTCAGTGTAAAGAGACCTTGTTGTGGGTTTGTTCCGTATTTTACTTGCCTAAGTGGTCATTATTCATGTATGAATTGACAGGATGTTTTGACCACGTGGGGAAAACCACAGTAAATTTGTCCTCATCTGACCATCCACACATGTGCACTTTCCAGCACGGGTCACTACATAGTGATCCATAGTGAGAACCCTGGCTGATTTTTCCCTTCCAACCTTGGCATCTCAAGCCAATGGAAGAGCCTTCACTGCTATTGGGGCACGTATCAACTAGCTCAACGCACACGTCAAATGAAACATGTGACCTACTATTCTGTCTGACCAGTGCTTTACTAGGTCTGTAAGGGGGGAAGCTACTTTTAGTTTGAAATTCCTGCTTCCTCAGTACATGTTTGCAGTTAGAGGAGGAATGTAGGACATTGCGTTAGATGGCAATAAAAAGAGATCATCAGATATATTCAGGATTAAGCGGGGGAAAAACAGAATCAAAGGATTTAAAGATAAGAGGGGGATATTGTTCTCAGTATATTTTTTGTTTGGAGATTCATTAGATACAAAAGTGAAAGGATAGTTCAGGATAAATGTTTTTACAGAGAGTTGTTGGGACGTGGAATGACCTGCCAAGTAAGGTGTAGAAGCAGAGTCCATTGTGGGTTTTAAGGGAAGGAGATAACCACAAGAAAAGAAAAGGCTTGAAAGGATATGGGATATGGCAGGATAGTGGAATTAAATGCACAGCTTGTTCTGAGAGCTGGCACAGGCTCAATGGTCTGAATTACCTCCTTCTATACCGTAATTTTCTATGATTCTATGATACACGTTCATCTGGTATAGGCATACTGTTCAGACATCTTACCTCCTGCACATGACTCCGAGCACTCTGTGAAACCCTTGTACTCCCAGTCGTACAGTTCATCAAAATCCTGCAGGGCGGTATACAATAGATCTGTCTCTGCAAGGTCATATTCTACTGTTTCCCCACCGCACGGTCCAGTATAGCAAGCCCGTTCCGTCTGGGGTCTGTTGCCATCACACTCATCATCAGGTAGGTCCTCCACTGACTGAGAAAAGGACAGGAGCACTTGGCATTTCACCTTGCGAGTCTGAGTGCCCGCTCCACAGGTGGTGCTGCATGGGAGCCATGGCTCTGGAATAAAGCTGAACACACAAAGCATCCATGTCAGCAATACCAACCTTCGTTTATATAAGACCTAGCTACATCAAAGCATCGCTCAAAACGCTTAACAATGTAATAATAATAATCCTTGCATTTGATACAGCGCCTTATCAAGTCGTCAAGACGTCTCAAAGTGCTTCACAGGATATACTGTAAAGTGGTGTGAGTGTGTATTTTGTGAATATACAATGGGAAGGGTAGACACCAAAGAAGAAATGTAAGATATTTATACAAAAATAATGGACATAGGAAGATAGGAACAGGACAAGCCTTTTCAGCCTATTGAACATGTTCTGCCTGTTCATTAAAACATCACAGAACTTTTAAAACTGCTTCCTCACCTTTTCTCCACACCTCTTAATAACCTTAATTCTCAAGTACAGTACCTACCTATCTGCCTTTTAAATATCCCAATATTAAAAGGAGATACAAACTCAGGAATAAGGTCATGAAGAGATATTGTAGAATTTTAAGAGATAATAATAATCCTTGTGTTTGATGTAGCGCCTTATCACATCTGTGAGACGTCTCAAAGCACTTCACAAAATATACTATAAAGTGAATTGATTGTATATTTTGTGGGTGAAATACGGCAGCCAATTGCGCACAGCAGTGTCCCGCAAACAGTCGTGGATTGAGTGACCAAATTTTTTTTTTGAAGGGATTATTACCCCCGGAAAAACAATCTGCCAGTCGACCAACAACGAGTTTCCAACTTTCTGCTAGGTAAACAGAGGCGTGAGGAGTAAGGAAACTTGCCCAACCTTTCGCCCTGCCTGGGAATCAAACCCCGGTCCTCTCGCTTGAGAGGCAAGTGCTCGAACCACTAGGCTACAGAACTCCAGATATTTGAAAGCAGGGAGTTGCAGCAAAGTGCACTGGGTTTGAAAGGACTTCTGGAGGAATTCTGCTGACTGAAAGCTTGTTCTCCCTCTGATGATGGAATGGAGGGAATGGGGGCATGTGCCATAAACCAAAGTCAAAAGAACCGATAGAATGAGCTGGGGTATAGAGCTATAAAAAATCTGCAGCAGAGGGAGATAGTGGAAGTTACACTAACTTGTTTTGCAAGTTTGAACCTCATCAATCTCGTTTACCATCTTATTACTTGAAATAAAGAGATGGCCGAGGATTCAAGAATCTCTCATGAACAATATCATAAGAGCTTTGGGTGAGAAAGTCTATTTAACCCATTTAATCTCACCTTTCCAGAATACTAGCCCTACTGTTCTATTTTTTGGGGGTCAGAGAAGTGTCTAACTGACACATAAGAAAACCCATCACCATGCTTAGGAGTATCCATACCACATTGAGATTCCATGCATCCCAGTCAATTACGCACAGCAGCGTCCCACAAACAGTCATGGATTGAATGACCAATTTTTTTTCAGGAATTATTACTCCCGGAAAGTGATCCGCAAATCAAGTAACAACTGGGTTCCTACTTACTGCTAGGCAAATAGAGGTATACGGACTAAGGAATGTTGCCTGAGGTTTCACCCAGAACAGGAATCAAATCCGGATCCTCTTGCTTGCGTGGCGAACGCACTAACCACTATGCTACCTTTAGCATATAACTTGGTAGGGAGTTCTATGTCCCAACAACAATTGGCTCCATAAAGCTAACGACTTAAAAATGAATTTACAGAAAAGAACAATATTATTTCTTCATAAATGATGTTCCATTTGCTATTCTAGTATCTTCTGCAATTGTAGCTTTTTTTTAAAAAAAGGTAAGGACTGAACTGAGGATAGATTTGACGTAGATTTCATTTTACACTGATTTACTCCCTTCTCTTCTGAAGGTAGTTCCTTCATTGTCACCAATTGAGATCGACTAGCTCACATAAAACCAGGGATGAAAACTAGAAATTTATTTTTACTGTATATAGTAGGTGAAGCATTTACTAAGGAAGCCATCAAACGAGTCCCATTTGGGCTTGTCATAAATAATTTTCATGTATATCTACATTGAACTTGTTCAAGTCATTCGATAGGAACTTCGGGGTGAAAATTGCAATCTTCCATGTGTAAACGTATCATTGCACAATTCCACCCTCTTGATAACTAAAATCAGTGAATGGTTCACTGAGGTAACTCTCTTCCATCCCCCACCCACCCCTCCAGCTCTATTGTGTGTAGACCTGGTGCAATTGTAGCACTCTCGCCTCTGTGTCAGAAGGTTGTGGGTTCAAGCTCCACATCTGGACCTGGAATCACATTGGTAAAATGACATTCCAATGCTGTGCTGGGGGTAGGGGGGGTGTTGAATTGCTAGAACTACCATCCTTCAGATAAAATATTAAACCTTGGTCTAATCTGCCTGTTCAGGTGGAACGTTAAGGATCCCATGGCACTATTCAAAAAGAGAAGGGAGTTTCTCCTGGCCAATAATCCCCCAAATAAAATTAGTCACTCCCTGTTTGGTTGTTTGTGGGACATTGCTGTGTGCAAATTGGCTGCTGCATTTCACCCACAAAATATACAGTCAAAACCACTTTACGGTATACCTGTGAAGCACTTTGTGATGCCTTGACACTGTGATAAGGCGTTATACCAAATCCAAGGATCATGATTATTATGGTTGGACCAATGCTGGCTGTGGATTGTGGCACAGGATTATTTGCCTGTGGATTAGAGTGTTGGGTAGTGGGATGCCAGTTGATCTGAGCCAGAATAATACAGAATAAAGGCAGGATCTTCCTCTTCCAATGTTCCACTTCCAGCTGTGGCTGGATTCTGGCCTAACCATTGTGACCGACACCCACGGACCAGAGAATGTCGATAGTTATTGATAGGGTGGAGTTTGCAACAACGTGTTAATTAGCACCTCGCAGGTCACAAGTTTCACCTCATTGTGTTCAGTGCATGCTTTAAAACACGAATAGAAAAATAGCTGCCCCAATAAAAAGTCATAAATGTACGCAAAATGATTTCCAGTTTTATTTGCTATTTTGTAAAACTTGGGATCACCCTGCTTTTACTGGAAGCTTTAAAACTTAATTTGCATTTTTTTCTGTTTTAGACGCATTTTACAGACTGCCTCCCTTTGTGAACATAACAAACGAGACCACAGAAGAATTTACTGGAGTTCTGAGACTCAAGCTCAGTCCACTAAACCTTGTGTTTGCTGAATTCACATTCCAGCAAACAATCTTATGAGCTTCAGATGCACATATTTTGCTTCTAGCTTATTTACGCAGACAGCTGTGGCAATCTCACACTAACAGACACATCTGCCATAAACTCAGCGGCCATCAACATAGTTTCCAAAATATGAACACACACAGGCTAATTTTTGTTATAATGAATTTGTTCTCAATACCTTCTGTTTCAGAGTACCACTGATCTGAAAATGGCACTGAAAATCTGATTTACCTGCAACACTGACTTATGTTACCTGCCGACATGTAAAGCAGAAAAAAAGGATATTTTTCTGTACTTGCACTTGGTGTCCTACATGGACACTATCGTTGTAAGATTCTAAATACTTTCAGATTCACCAAGATAGCAAAATCAGAGGGTATAGGTTAATTGTTGAAAAGGATTGTTTTAGGATAAACACCAGGAAGAGTGGTTGAGGCCAGTAACTGAACTAATTTCAGAAGCAGTTTGATTTTTTTGGGGTGAGCTGGGTTTTCCCCATTCAACCCCTCCACCCAGGCCGAATTAAACCAAATGCCATTCCACAATCCGAGAGCGTAAATTGCCCCCCAGGGAACTCAGATCCCCCAAACTAAATCTGGACCCCAAACTGTCTAAAGACAGTTCAGAATCAATACTTTACACCATGACATCATGAGCAAGTCAATCGGCCAGATTGCCTTTCTAAACAGTCTGAGCCGAGTGAGCAAGGCTTTACAAATGTGATCTTGTTGTTGTTGTTATTGTAGTCCATATTCCAGTTTCTCTATTCCTTCTTTTGGGTAGATCAAATTTCTCAGATCAGGGCCGTGCCAAAGAGAGATTGAGCTGTCAAGAACTGCAAACATCTGAACAGTAACTGATACGAACAGATAGTACAGTTGATCGTAGCCAAAAGGCTGAGAACAACAACAACAACAACATTCCATTTACAGAGCGCCTTTCACGTCGGGAGGACGTCCCAAGGCGCTGTACAAGGTCAGGACCCGAGCAGGGGGGAATGGTCAGGGTGAGGGGAGGGAAGGGAGGGGGCGAGGAGGGGGTAGAGAGTCGAGAGGGGAGCTGAAGGCACGGTCAAAGAGAAAGGTCTTGAGACCGGCCTTGAAGGAGGAAAGGGAGGAGGCGGCGAAGGCACTGGGGGATAGAGGAAGAGAATTTCATAAGCAGTTTGATGCTGAAATGGGGGGAAAGTAGTGTGGTATTCTGGAAGGATAAGATCAAATAGACACAAGTGTGTATCTGAACTTCGCTTGAGATTTCTTGTGAAGTGTTCATCGAATATGTTTTTGGTTCATGGAGAAGGAAGATCCGTGCACTATTTTCAGTTATTAGAAAGTGATGCAAGTGACAGGGTTTAGGCCATTGCATTATTCTTAGGGCCACTTTAAAAAGCTCCAGTGCCCTAATTATACTGTACTTTTTGTGGACAAACCTATTATAAATGCTGGTTGAGCAGCACAATCTGAAGGTGGGTGTGTTGTAGCCTAACACTCGAGAATAATCTTAGGACATGTTTCCATCAGCACATTCATTTGAACGTCTGTGGTATAAATATAACAGCTGGGTAAAATAACTTCAGCCCAGTGTGGTAAGGTCTTTTGAAAAATCTCAAGTGGTCGTGGTGTAAGGAATCCTTGGATGGTCCAAGGAATTTCCCGGTACCTTTTCATTGTTATCAGTCACAAGATTAACTCTTTCATTCTTTCTTTAATAACATTAAAGGTCCCAAAGCTCAATCTTGTGAAGATCTCCAGTTTGGGTCCGAAACACTGACTGTCCAATGCCTTGGGATATCCTCCCGACGTGAAAAGCGCTATACAAATGTAATTTTGTTGTT